TTTGATGGATTTTCATAAGATTATATGTTCGCAAGTAGAATTATATAAGCAGCTAGCATGGTGTTCATAAGCTTAGAATTATATAAACTATTTTAATTGAGCCATTTTACCGAACATGGTGTATGCATGAAGACACACACAAAATATAGAGGGGTGAAGAGCCATATAATGTATGCAAATGCAATGCTCAATCAATACACGTATTTTTTGTATTAATGCAATAGTCAAAATTAATGACTTAACCAATGTGATTAGTTCCAGTTATTCCTAATCCACATGCAATATCTACAACAATCACGACTATCTTCCACCGATAGCCCAAAACAGTTATTTTTAGACTGGAAATAAATATAACAACAATACAATAGGCGAGTGGTTTAAACTATCCCACTACACCATTTAATCAATGAATTCCTCAATTTCATGAATTTAACCAAATTCCCAAATTCCCTTAAACTAATTATACAAATTAATTTATCAAAACAACGAGGGTTTTTCCCAAAATTACCAAAGTGTCCCCAACATATCAAAATACCAAAACTTAGAACAAAACTTATAGAATGGAGTAGGAAATCCCTACCTCGAAGAAATAGCCCCAAAAGAGAAGATGGAGATGAAGACCCAAACTCCAAAGTGCTCCAAACTACCAACAATTCAGATTAAAACATAGCCCTCGACTCACACACTCTTTTTAATGAAGGATCTAAGGTAGAAATACACCCTAAGTGGATCAAATCTAAGAGAGAAAGTGAACAGGGTAAGAGAGAAGTCGGACCTTAGGGTTTGGAATCTAAAAAGAGGATGAAAACTGATTAAAATCCCGCTACTGTCTAATTAAACTGGACAGGCTCGCTCGAGCGAAGACTTGGTCGCTCGAGCGACCAAACACAAGAAACCCTCGATCGAGCGAAGAAAATCTCGCTCGAGCCAAGAATGCAATACTTCAGGTCTATACCAGACGCAAACTCTCGCTCGAGCGACCAAACCCCGGCTCGAGCGAAGAACCAAAAACAACAGCTCGCTCGAGCGACAAACTCCTCGCTCGAGCGAAGATCCAAAATTCTGGACAGCAACACTTGGTTTCTAAACCCAACCAACCTGAAACAAACCTGCCCAACACATACTATAACTCCAAATGAGAAAATAAGGAACAACAACAACAATTATAAAATGACAGAATCTACGGAACCTAAGTCCGGATACAATAATCAAATGGAAAAAGACCGGGGTCGCTATAGAGCTGAAGGGTTTGCAGAATTCGAAAGGAAGATTCATCTTAATTTTATATATATTTCATCAACAACAACAACAACAAAAATAAATAAATAAATCTATAAATAAAACTAACAAAGCTCCACTGACTTATGGATATAATGTTAAGGGGATAAAGAGATATGAAAAACTAACAAAAGAGGGAGGGAGAAAGTCAAAAGATGGCATATAGTAATCTTAAAGACCTTAAAAGGGTTGTGTGAACCCTTTTCCAACAATAAAAAACTAAAAAGTAAAGTCAAACATCGATTTTAGCGAATCGAATTGATTCACTTCACGATTTACCGATTTGGTTCACCGATTCACCTACGATTCATGGCTATTTACGATTCATACAACTTGACAAAAACAAAAAATCACATAGTGAACCCAAATAAAAATTTTGAGGCATTTTGGAGACCCATTTTAGAAAAAATTTTGAGAGACCTATGTGAGGCATTTTACAAAACATAGTGAATGCATACAAAGAGACACACATAAAACAAAAAAATCCAAAAAAAAAAAAAAAGATGTTTCGATGGATTTTCATAAGATTATGGGTATGTTTGGTTTGTATTTGTAGAGTAATTTTGGGAAAATTTTTCTAAAAAAATTGTTTGGTTTGTAAATTTTCCAAAACAATTTTAATAAACTATATAAACTATTTTAATATAAGCAGCTAGCATGGTGTTCATAAGTTTAGAATTATATAAACTATTTTAATTGAGCCATTTTACCAAACATGGTGTATGCATGAAGACACACAAAATATAGAGGGGTGAAGAGACATATTTTAATTGAGGCAATATAAATGAGAAACACAATCAAACCTGAATGAGAAACAAATCACATAAAAAATTAGACACCTAACGAAAACCCAAATAAAAATTTTGAGGCATTTAGGAGACCCATTTTAGAAAAATATTTCAGAGGCCTATGTGAGGCATTTTATTGAACATAGTGAATGCATACAAAGAGACATAAAACAAAAAAAGCCGAAAAAGAAAAATTAAAAAAAAATGTTTTGATGGATTTTCATTAAAAAAAAATAAAAAATGCTTTGATGGATTTTCATAAGATTATATGTTCTCAAGTAGAATTATATAAGCAGATAGCATGGTGTTCATAAGTTTAGGATTATATAAACTATTTTAATTGAGCCATTTTACCGAACATGGTGTATGTATGAAGACACACACAATATAGAGGGGTGAAGAGACATATTTTAATTGAGGCAATATAAATGAGAAACAAATTGCATAAGAAACATAAGTATTGAAAATTTTAAAATCAAAATAACAAATTGTAATTGAGAGAGACAGTTGAGATGAGATGAAATGAACATAAAGATGAGACTCAAACAGATGCTGTAGTTTCAAATTGTGAAACTGAAATCAAAATACATAAGGAAAAAAATGATGAGGTATGGACAGAAACAATATATTCTGTCCACAAAATCACATATTTTTTTCAAAATTACTTGGGATTCTGAACCCATTTGGTATCATTTGCCATGATTATTATATAGATTAATTGTGAAAAAAAAAAAAAGCAAAGCCCATTTAATTTCTAAATCAACTCATGACCATTCACATGACGGAAATCAAATCAGCCGAGAAATAACAAACAAATTTTAAAGGGGAGGAGTTGATACATTCTCTTTTTATTAGGAGTTCTACACAATTTCTGTTTAGATTTTTAGTTATTCTTCCTAATTTTTAATTGTTCAGGTAGGTTATCTTATCTCCTGATTTGTAACTCATTTAAGTTTGTTAACTACTTGTAAGGAATTTTCCTATTTTGTTGGGACTTACCATTTTATTGAGGCCTGTTGTATACGCAAGTAAATAATGAGATAGTGCGTGGAGTAATTCCCTAGTACCTTGGTGTATTTTCATTACAGATTTTGGTTCCCTCAATGTAACCAAATTAACCATTCCACCTACCTTTCCTTTTTTACTATCTTGTTAGCATTTACAACTCTTAAAGATAAGGACTTCATCAACCAGCCAGCCCATACCAGAAAACCAAAACAACACAATGCCACATGTCATTGTGGATAAATTGTGGGACTCTAGCATTTCTCAATAACCCATAGAATCTTCCAACCCATCTTCGGGTTAGAATCATATTGTGCAATCAAAACCTTCCATTGATCAATAACAGTATACATTTGATGATCAAGCACTAAAGCATACTACCCTAAACAGAAAAATAATGAAAACCCACAAATTTCCAAATGCAATCAGACAAATGAAAGTTACTATGTAGTTGGAAGACATACTTGACTCTTCAGTGTCGTCAGATCGCGAAATCATCACTGGTGGTAATGCAAGATCTGTAATAGTGAAGTAAATGCAATTTCAACAAAATTTTCATTCAAAAAATCATGCAGACAAACTGAAAGACTGTATGCTTGTAAATTTGAAAACAGGGAAACGAAAAAATGAAGAATAAAGTTAATAAGAATATCTATAACCCATTTACCATCATCAGAAAGAGTGACTCGCATCCATTCCTCATCAACAATATCTATAAGAACACCCAGGCTCAGTTCTACCATGCTCGGTCCGTACTTCAGATAATCTCCTTTCACAAATACAGAATTAAAGAACAATAAAATTTAATTATAGATAAAATCAAATCCACTCCACAATCACTAAACCCAACGGTATAAAATTTGGAACAACAAAATAATTCACTCCACAATCAAATTTTTTTCAACATTCCTTATTTAATTTACTTGATAATCTGAACCCATTTTGTAAATTAGAAATCACATAATAGGTTCACATAATATAGGTTCACATAAAATTTTACCACAAATTTTACCAGAAATCACACAATAGGTTCACATAATATAAATCACATAATATAAATCACATAAATCACATAAATCATATAAATCACACAATCAAACCCGAATGAGAAACAAATCACATAAAAAATTAGACACCCAACGAAAACCCAAATAAAAATTTTGAGGCATTTTACAGAACATAAAACAAAGAAACCTTAGATACCGATCTCTAAAGGCACAAAGAGACACACATAAAACAAAGAGAGAAACCTTATATATGCGTAGAAAAGGGAGGAAAATTTTGAAGAGGATACCGACCTCTTTCTTGTTGGTTGCGTCGACCGATCTATCGATCTACAGTGCAATAAATTACAAACACAAAATTACCGACCTCTTTCTTGTTGGTTAAGTCTAAAAAATTGCGAACATTTGTAATAGTGCAAACAAACAAACAAACCAAAATATGAACACATAATAAATTATACGAAAACATAATAAATTATAAACACATAAACACGAAAATAGGAACACCATTTTTTTTTTAAACACACACACGCACACAAATTAAGTAAACAAACAAACCAAATTTTTTAAAATTGAATTTATGCACAATTTGTATATACAAAATCTTTTTATATAATACACCTAATATTTTCTTGGTTGATGATTCAAATTATTATTATTATTATTTTCAGGATCTTAGAGTTTGCTAGGGATGAGTAATTGAGTTAATACTGTAGGAGTAGACATTCTTATGGGATGATTTTTGAATATTGGAATTATAATTTATTTAGAAATAATCTGGAAAGGTGATTGGTATGTATATAGCTAATTCGGTTACTTCCTGGAGTATATTAAAAAAGATTAGCCTTGGTAAACTGACCAAAAGATTAGCCTTGCTTCCTGGTGATTGGTATTTATCTAGAAACCTATTTCAAAACCAAAATATAGAGCCGCAAACATACAAACCAAAATCATACAAATCCGAAATCAAAATACATAAATAGAAATACATAAATACCAAAATACAGAGATTCGAAAACTTATTTCAAAATCAAAACTGAAATCATACAAACCCATTTCAAAATCAAAACCGAAATCATTCAAACCCATTTCAAAATCAAAATTAAAACTGAAACCATGTCGAAATCATATGCAGAATTCTGTAGAAATCATATGAATTAAGCCTTAGACAATGAATTAAGTGGTCTAGTAGTTAAGCCGCCTCTGTCCCCATTACAATTGCCTCCTAAAAAAAAAGGCTATAAGTGCTGTTTGTCATTGTATATTCTGACTTGTGTAGAAGAATAATATGGACATTCAAAGTCAGCTTCAGACCAACCAACTTAGATGCATATTATATGTAATGAATACAAAATTCAAAGTCAACAACCAACTTGATCGCAGATTATGTAACGAATACAGAGCTTAATGCAATAGATGTGTTTTGACTGAAATTGTTGCTGAAAACAATTGAATTCTATTAGTGAAGACAAAAAAACATAGCAAAACAATATTTGAATTACAACTTGACATAGTTTACAACAACGTTTATACCTTGGGGACAAATAGTCGTTCTACTTGAGACCAAGGGATTGATCAGCCAAAATTCTACAGAATTCATATGCAAAATTCTTGCCGAAATCATATGCAGAATTCTTCTTCAGTTTTACTCAATAGCAAAGCAATATATCAGTTGGCTCAATATCGAAGCAAAAGCCAAACGTTAACAAAGTAACAACAAAAGAAAAACAATGAGAACCAAAGTAATAAACTAACCAAGCAGCCGAGCAGGATGTCGAGCAGCCGAAGTGAATAGCCGAGCAGCCAAAGTGATGAAGGCAAAAGCTGTGAGAGGAAAAAAAAAATTCAAGAGGAAGAACAATTACCCGAAAAAGAAAAATTCAAGAAGAAACTCTTGGTATTCCTCCATGTGAATGAAGATAATTTGTAATGATAATTTGTAATGTTGTGAATTGGTTTATTCCTATTCATGAAAATGCTAATTTGTAATAACTCTTGGTATTCTTCCATGTGAATGAAATGCTAATCATGAAAATTTCTAATGACTATTCAACTGGATAGCTATTGTAAGTTTTAGGATGTGCAGTTAAGTAGCTTGAACTGAATAAATTTTCTTTTGGCAGCAAATTAAAAGGAAAAAGGAAGGAGGAGAAGAGGATGACCCAAGAAGAGATGCTTCTGGAAGCAGCTCAAACAGGTTTTATGCTATAAGTTTGATTTGAAGAGATAGTCTACCAATTTTACTTGTGGGATGATCTCAGATATTCATGATCTCAGATAGTCTACCAAAAATTCAAGAAGAATACTAAAGTCATGTTTTCAATAACTCTATTGAACCCAGCAATTAAAAACTATAGTTAAGAACCTAGCAGTTAAGAACTGAACATCTCAATATATATATATATATATATCATTCAAATAACTCAATATCATCCAGAATTTCTTTTGAACCCAATATATATATCATTCAAATAACTCAAAATCCAAACCCAAAAACAGAAAAACAGAGCAAGGAAAATGTGAGCCAGACGGTAGACAGAGAGGGAAATGGAACTACTTAAATTGCTATTTCCCCAACTTTAGATCCTTTTGATGCTCAAAAGTATTTCTTATTCATACTTTTTTTGAAAAAACAAATGCAATTGAAAGAACATTTTAGCTCACAGACTGGGTTGTCAAAGCATTTGTATCACAACACAAACTTCTATTATTTTTATTTTTTTCCCCTGAAGGCAAATGAAATCAAATTATGAATCGGATATATGACATAGTAGTTGATTTCACAAAGGGATTATCTCATTCCTGATCGACATATAATCCAAGTAGCAACAGGAAGTTGCATATTCTTTTCCAACCTTCTCAAATCAATTTCGCATGTTATCATCAAATGCTATAACAATATATACAATACACACCTCACTATCTGCTTCTCTCAACTCTGCAGCAGTATTTGTCTGTCCTTCATTCACATTATATTTTCTACAAAATGGTATAGCCAAGCCAAGCCAAGCTTCTCATCAGAGCGTAGGAATGGGAAGGTAAAGAGGGTATGGGAAGACAGATGGTGGACAGAGGGTATAGGGGAGACACAGAAATGTGTTGGGCGGGAAATGTTAGCCATCCAAAGCAAATCTAAACCATTGAAATAAACTTGGGATTAATCTCAGCCATTGGATCAAAATGTATCTCACATACATTTTTGACATAAATTCAAAAACCTTTATGACTTATTATATAGATTTTTTAATAAAAAATTTATGCATAAAATAATAAGTATCGATAAATTTTTTATTTAAGTTTACATGCACATATAATCATTAAAATTATAAATTAAAATTTACTTTCATATATTAAGATATGAAGAAATCAGTACAATGACTCAAAAACATAAAAAATTGGTTTTGTTACTTTATAGTTTAGCAAACACTTCAATCCACAAATCACAAATATTTCAATCAACAAATCACAATCCACGAATTATCTCATATAGCAAAGAAATTATAAAAAAAACAATTTAATGAAACAAAAATTAGGAAAAAAATTATTTAGTTAAAACTAATAAAGACCTAGGTAAAAAAATTAGGGCAAAATTATTTATTTCACTAAAATCTAATAGATTAAGAAGGTAAAAAAAATTAGGGCAAATTTATTATTCCACTAACTGATAAAAAAAGAATGTAGAAAAAAAAAATTAGGACAACTCTATTTAATAAAATCTGATACTGAGAGAGAGGACTTACTGTGAGGGAGAGAGAGAGAGAGAGTCGCTCACTCTGCGTCTCCTACTTTATGCTTGCCTTGTTTCCTTCTTCATCACCACTTCATGTTCGTGTGTGTGAGAGAGAGAGAGAAAGAGATTGAAAGCACAGAGTTGAATGAAGGTACTGACTGAGCTATGCAATTTGTATGTATTGTTCTGTTCCTCTGGGTTGGGCCCAAACATTTAATTTATTTATTTATTTTTATATATTTTCATTTTTATAAATATGGATTAACACATATAAATAAATATGGGCTAAACATGGGCCCAATAAAATATTTTGGGCCTTTTAAATTAATCCTAAAACAAACAAACAAAATTGGGCCTATAACATTTTTTTAAATTTAGTGACTCTATTTTTGGGCCAAAATTGTGGGGCCTAAAGCACAGGCCTTACTGACCTTAGGCCAGGGCCGGCCCTGGACTGATGTTATGTGGTGGCCTTTGTGGTTGGCTAGATCCGAGGCAAAAGAATATATATATTTTTTTTTATTATTTTTTAATCAGCAAAGAAAATAAACTTTATTGATGAAGAGCAAAAGAATAAATATTTGAGGTTAGGTGAAATTTTGAACCACCAGATCTGAGTTTAGGGTAAAGTTTAATGTGAACCTAAACTAGATAAAAACAATTTTGAACCTGAAGATAGAACAGTATGGTGAGGGAGACGGAGGCAGAAAAGAGAATTTAGGAAGTATTTGCTTCACTTGAATGAAGGTTGGAAGAGAATGGTTATTCTGTCACAATCTGTGTTACCAGAAAACGCTGATACCCTAGTGAATTAGGTATTGGAATGCATATTCTAAAATATGGTACACTTTCATTTCAAAACAAAAAATTTAGTAATCCAAAGTGATCCCAAAAGTTTTTTCTAATGTGTTCTTAACACTGTGTTTGATTGGGAGATTTGGAAGGGATTTGAAAAGAGAAAGGGAAAATGTGTGTGAAACTAGGTAAAATATAGCCGACAAGCCAACATTGCATATTGGGTCTTTAGTAGCATCTCGAAGTGTCGTAGGGTCTAGCATGCCTCAATAGATGCATCTTGGGTGGCCACTTGGTCATGCGAAGCCCACAAGCTACCGAGGGTCAATCTCTTGCCCACGGCGTAGTTCTCGTGCCAACACATGTGCTAGATTCCCCCTAAGGCCATTGCACACCTTAGCATTGCACCAACGCGTAGCATGAGTAAGGCGACGTCTCAATCCGTAGCTTGCTCGTAGCATAATGTAGTCCCTCAATGGACGTAGTCATTGCATAGCTTGATGCCTTCATTCGATAGCCTACATATGCAGTGTCGCCTTCCAACTGCTTAGCTTAAGCCACGAGATCCCCTCATGCAAAGTTGAACCCAAACCAAGTACTAGAGTTGGCACACGAGGCCTTTAGTGGTGCCTCAATAGCCCATTCGGTCCAAAACGAGTCCCAAAGATACCATATTGCGTGGCATAATGGAAACAACGTAGAGGACCTCTCACCCGGGAGGGTCGCGTAGTGCCTACATCATTGCACCGTCCACAGGGCTCCCAAACCCACGTGGAGACTCTAGACACCCCTCTGGATGCCTAAAGCCCGCCTTTGAGTTGCCCCAAGGTTGCTCACTTCAAGCCCAGTTTGGACGGGGAGGCTGGTAGGTAACACACCATACCCCCTTATAGTAGCTTGTTAAGCCCTTTTTCATCTGGCAGGAAGAAACATCATACATGTTCGAGGAGTCATAATGATTTTTCATAAATTCTACAAATTGAGAAAAATCACGAAACTTGATCGGGAAAACACTTCCCCCAAAACCTCTTTACCATAAAAATTTCAGCCCGAAACTCCTTCGTTTGAGTGCCGAACCAAAGCGCCAAAACGTTGTACTGTTGGCTGCCACTGCTGGCTGCTGCTACTGTATTTTGCTACTGCTGGCAGCGTTGTTTGCTGCTGCTAGCAGCGCTGGTTGGCTGTTGGCATAGGCTGCGGCCTTGCCGTTTGATGGCTATTTGTGGCCTACATGACTTGGGCTACTTGGGGCCGATGTTAGGCCACATTGGGGCACTTCCAATGGCCACTCTTGAGCACTCAAATGGCCACACCACCGAAAGTGAAACGTCACGAAGTTGGCCTTGCAAGGCAACCCGTGACACTCTCCTCCACTTTAACCATCAACGTCCTCGTTGATGTAGCACAAAGCTAATGCTGCAGTGCGTGTACCAGCTCCTCTGATGAGTCCAACACCTCTGTGTTGATGACCTACCTTCAACGTCCAACTCTCTTAACCAAGCTCCCTTCTAAAAATGGCCTCTGCCAAAGCTCCTTTGAGCGTCTCTAACTCTGTCATTTGCCAATACTCTTGAAATGCCAAGCCCTCTTCTCAAATGGCCTCTGCCAATGCTCCTCCGAGCAAACTCCTCTGCAAACTCAAGCTCCTCTGAGCTAACTCATGCTCCTCTGAGCTGACTCCTCTAGACGATGTTCCTCTGATGATCTCTCATGCTCTTAATGCTCTTCTGAGCCCTCTTCTCAAATGGCCTCTCTGCCAATGCTCCTCCGAGCAAACTCAAAATGGCCTCTCTGCCAATGCTCCTCCGAGCAAACTCAAGCTCCTCTGAGCAAACTCGCAGTGGGTCGTCGTATCGCGACTTCCTTCTCCACTCGAGTTGTCGACGCCCTCGTGCAAATCAACAGTTGCTCCTTAAAATGATGCAACAATGCCCTCTGGCAAGCATGAAGCCCTTTGGCTGATATCTTCAATACATTAAAGTATCTCCATACTGTGCCCTCTGGCGAAACAAAAGCCCTCTGGCAAAACAAAAGCCCTCTGGCTGCTGCTCATTAGCAAGTTCATCCCTCTGAGGCCTTCTGGCTGGTGCCCTCTGGCAAACACAATCTCTGAAGCCCTCTTGGCTGTTGCCCTCTGGCAAACTCAAACTTTGAAGCCCTCTTGGCTGTTACTCTCTAGCAAACTCAAACTCTGAAGCCCTCTGGCTGTTGCTCTCTAGCAAAATGAAGCCCTCTGGCTTAACTCAAACTTGTGCCCTCTGGCAAAGTGTAGAGCTCTGTCTCACTTGTATCTGCTGGCTAGAATTAACTCATGCTGCCCAGTACCTTGGCCACTGCCTTCACCCGAGTCAGCTATCTCATCAAGCTCAAAGATTTCGCCTTTAAAAGGCTCACCGTTCCTGCCACCCACAAAACTAGCCATCTCAACAATGCTGCTCAAAACGGTGCGCTGATCCTGGCACCAACTCATGTCTTGACTTTACAATCCCGCTACACAGTTGTCCTCCAACAACGGTGATTTCATCTATCACCCTGCTCTCTAGCAAGCATGTACACTCGGTGCCTCTGCACACGGGAGTCAAGATCTCAAATTTTGTCTTGAAAATTTCCGAACAAACCCTCTAAGAGTCAACAACCATGCGTCTGAAGATGCAAAACCACTGACCAGCACACGTTGCAAATGCCACCACGAACGGTCGAAACATAGGCCCCCTGAAGCGAACCAGTGATAATGCCATAGCACGTGCACGGCTGCCAACGAAAATCCGTCTCTAAGGCTCAATAGCTGAAGATCACATGCCCACAATCTGATACAAGCATTCCACAAGTCCAAACTATAGTAGAGATCCCCATGTAGCCAACAAAGTAACACAATCATGCCAACCCAGCTGGTTAGGAAGCAACCCGTCCACAAATGTAGCATACTCGCGCCACAGTGTACCCACAGTGTAGAAATGCTCACCAAGTCCACAAAGTGAGAGGGAAACACCAAGTTAGCAAGAAAACACTAGATGTCACAATGCTGCTCAATTCGCACCCTCGAGAACGGTTGCTGCGTTCAAGGCATCGCTGAAAAATAACACCATAGGCACGGATACCCCAAGACATCACCAATCAGCTCCCACAGTTCAAACATGACTAGAAAACCAACGACGGTCTTGTTTAGAGTCTAGGATGTCATACACGTCCCCCAGGATGAGTTTCATGCACAACTCCTTCAAACAGTTCATTCACATTTCACCTACCTCTTCCAAATCTCTCCTCAAATCCCCTAACCAAACACAGCATATATGTTATCTTAAGAAGAAAAAAAAAATTTAAAATGAACTAAAATCTAAACTGAGATAAGTTTTGACAAGACATAAATATCAAAAAATGGATTATAATGCTCATAGAAAACATTACATTTTATTGGATGTCTAAAGTATAAAAAAAATTAAAAAACAAAAAAAACAAAAAAAAAAACAAAAAAAAAAAACAACAACAACAACAACAACAACAACATTAGAAATACATTAAATTCTTAAGTATAATATATACAAATTTACTCCTATCATACCACATTCTAGAACATATGGTGTACTATGTTCATCCCGGTCCCAAGTAACAAAGGTCACAATACTCATTCCCATATTGAGTTTGGTCATAAAAAATAAAAAATAAAAAAAATAAAAGAGAGAGAGAGAGAAGAAATAAACATTTCAAATGGAATCACTATTTACCAATTTAGGAGAATCGTATCCATTGCCATTACCATTGCCAAGTCCCAATCAATAGGGCTGTTAACTGACCTTGTCCCTCATTTGTTCAGTTGCCAGACATGTATTTGGGGCGCAATACCTGCTAGTCACATAATTTATTTGTTGAGTTTTGGTTAATGTGATCATGTATGATTGACGATATTGAGAGCATCAAACAAGTCATGTGCCTCCACTGCACTGGATTTAGATGGAGTGATGTGTAAGGGAGGGAAGGGGCAGCAACCAGGTGGGAGAGCGGCATGGGGTTGTGATAGAGAGGAAGAAAGAGGGGTCTGTGGTGGTGTGTGAGTGCGAGGGAGGGAGAGGGAACATGTTACAGTAGGGAAACTAAGGGCTATGACAGTGGCGCGTGAAGGGATGGGATGGATAAAAGTCACTTTTGGACTATACTTTTTTTTGACATTTCAGTAAATAAGTTTCTATAATAGACTTCATTGGAGCAAATATTTGAAACTGTTAACAGAGGACTAGAGCTGAAACAAAGTGTTTCTCACACACTGATGCATTTTGTTTGTGATATATATACACAGCAGATTAAGCGATCATAATGTGGATAGATACAATGAAATGATAAGGCTGTTACAAATGGATGGGGATAAAGCTATATTGAATATGCATAAATCTTATCTCAACAGACTTTCTAAGAAATTTGTTCATCTAATGGAGTTGACTATAATAAATTTACCATTAGTTGACTTAAGCATAATAATCCCTTATTATTAAAGTAAAGTTTGGAAACTTGTAAAAAAGTCAAAAAGTTACTCAAAAAGTTAAAAAGTTTACACTATTCACCAAAAGTCAACAATTACGGCTGCACAACTCCCAATCCTAATTTTTCTCTACAAATCAATTTTTACAATTTTTTATTACACATTGTTCCATAAAAAGTCAAAAAATTAACCCAAACATCCATATTTTCAACCTCAATTTTTTAATCCAAAAAAACAAAAAATGCGCTTATTTAGGACACCCCAAACAACTCCTAAATTGTTTGGAACAAAGCTAAGCCTCCGCGAAATCCAAAACAAACCGGATGCACCAAACTACAAAACAGAGAGCAGGACCCCCATATCCATCAAAGAAGACCCACCGTGAGTAACACAATCTTGAACAACATTAACTCAAACTCAGTCTTCTCAATCCATCAAAACATCTCATAAAATTGTCAACTAAATAGGCTGAAATCGAATTGAAAGCTTTAACCACCAAGCAATCCTAATTTTAACCAAATCAACCAACTTATCCAGATTTTTACCGAAGTTTTTGAAAATCAATTCATTCCTTGAATAGTGTTCCATAACACCACCAAACGGATGTTCTCCAAAACAACTTATTGAACTTTTTCAAAGAGTTCCCAAACCACCATTCCATTAAGGACAACGATGGCGAACACACCCAATACAAATCCAACCATTTAAGAACTTCTGCCCATAATTGCCATGCCAATTTGCAGTGTAATAAGAAATCATCACTCGTTTGAAATGTGTTGCACGGCGTGTTTGCGATGTATATTTCTATTGAATTAATTCTACTGTTTATTGAAGCATATTTGACATTATATTATTTTTTCAGATGTTGCTCAAGGACTAGATATGGTCGAGCAAGTGCTTTTAGGACCAAACTTATTTTTTGGGACTTTTTTTTTGTTTTTGCCGACAGCATTGTCACCTTTTGCAATGGAAAAGTGCCATTACAAAATGTCCAATTTCTTGTAATCATTTTTGTAAACAAAACGGGTATTTTGTTTTAAGTGAAAGGTTTATATTGAGTCATATTATTCCGTACAAAAATTTTAAATGAATTATATGTTTGTTTATCGTAACTCAATTTTTTTATTTGTGAATCATTTTTCTACTCCATAGGTCAAGGTTAGTAGGTTCTTCATGTTTAAACAGGTTTCACAAAATGATTATGGACTATTGTTCGAGATTTTCAGGGGTGCTCTTATTTAATGACAGTAGGGATGATTTTTGGTTCATAATCTTAAAAACACCACTGTCTCATTATTTTCACTGAATTGTTTTGTATAAAAATTTTGTTCGTAAATTATTTTTCCATTCTATTATTCTGCACACAATGAAAATAAATAGACATACAAGCCACCAAAATTGGGATGTATATAGTGAAGCCCAATCAATGACCATTGGAAAGTTGCTCTATGATAATTTCATAGACTAAATTGCCCTTCTAGTTAGGAACAAATATTGAGTGTAACAGTAACATCATCGTACATGATAACAGACGAATGGTAGCAATGTAAGACCTTCTCATGCAATTGTTGCAAGTTTTTTCACTGTTTCAAAACAAAGTTGCTCTGATGTAACATCACTATTACAGGCATGAAATTGCTAGCTTCTCTTGTTTGGATCTGCTTGTTAGCTAACTTTGTTGCAGAGACTTGTGGATTTCCATGCCTATGAAAGCTCCAAATGTAACAACCTGAAAACAAACACCGAAACTTGTAAATCAAATTTAATTTGTTCCTTCAAGGAAACCAAAAATGGTTCCACCAATAATTAGGGCTGTGAAACGAATCAAACTAGTTAGACTTTTGGCTGGTGTTTGGCTCATTATGTAAACAAAATAATTTTGACATATTTTGAAACTAACAAATTTTTTAGTTAAGCTTGAACTCGACTCGTTAAATTTATATATAAAAAAGAAACTCAATGTTTGATTCATGAGCGACTGAAAAGTTAGACAAGTCCAAGCTCAAACACATATTGAAAATTGTTAAGATTTTCAAACCAAACTAAATTCCTGACTCTACTCAATTTGTGTATAATATGCCTTGCTCATAGGTACAACCATTTTACATAACATGGAATTTTCAATCTCCAAATCTCGTTGTTCTAATACACTCTCAATAATCGGATCATGTTTCGAGATTCACATAATTAAATAATTGAGAGTTTATTTGAATAGAAGGACATATAGATTTAGAGACTGATGATCCTTGGCCATTTTACATATATATTTATATTTGGCTCAACTCAAATTGATTACTTTATTGTCCTACTAATACTTGGTTATAATCATTTTACATGGCACAGATTTCTCTAAATTTCTCTGCCCCAATGCACCCCAACTATTAGATCATGTTTTGAGATTCACAAGTTCCAAAATTTTTACAAAATCAAGTAATTGAGGGTTCATTAGAACAGAAAGACAAAAATTTAGAGATGGAGAATCTTGATGGAAATTAAACAAATCTCATGCAGATAGGCTTTCTACATACCTAGTTAGCCATTGATGGTGACACCCAAATGCTTTATCCCCAAACATGATATAACAACTCATCCAAATTTCTTCATCATATCCTCAACAGTGGACTGTTGTTGCAACACCAACACAGAAGCATTGCTCTTCATATCAGAAGATGCAAGTATATCTCCAATGATCCCCAACTCCTCAATATAATTATTCCACTCAGTGAGCCCAGAAACCACTGAAGATTCTTTGTTCACTCTCCTTCCAACCAATATGAAGTTATACTTGTCATCCAAAGACAACAAAACCCTAGAAGTCTCGGCTCCGTCGTGCACAGTCACATTCCTAAACTCAACCCTTCTACTGTCTTTGTAAACACTCCTGAACTCATTGATCATTTTTAGGTCAAGTTTGGCATCCATTAGATCAGTAATAAACTCATCCTCTCCGACGAATTGGATCACATTGACCTTAGTTCGCGGGTTCTCCGCCATGCGCATCCCATACGCTAGCGCCTCCCGCGAGTCAGGCCCTCCGGTGAAGATCACGCACACTAGAAACGTGTCCTCCTGGAGGGACTCGTTCACAAAGTAGGTAAATATTTTTTTATTGACAAGGATTCCAACGGAGCAAGGGGCCTTATCAAGGACATTTTTTTTGACTGACCGAACTTTACTGCTGTCTGAATTTTGAAAAGTGATGACTAAAAGGGACGTGCTTCTCTCCAGTGCCATAACGCATATATCGTCGTGCATGGTGTCGTAAGGTGTTATGGCAGTGAAGAACTGGAATTTGACCAATCCTTGGCGGAGGTGCTCGTGGTGGCGGAAGGCGTTGATGATGCGATCAGTTCTAGTGGCATTGGAACTGCGGTTGCGCTTGTGGAACTGGTGGTTGATGAGGAGAGGGTGTTCGCGGCCAGCGAGCTCCATTAGGTCTAGAATGTAGACTCCTAGGGGTCTTGCCCGGGTTGAATGAGAGGCTTTTAAGAGATTCATGAGGCTGAAAATGGTTTCTTCTTCATGGATGGAGACCAGGATTCGAAGCTCGGTGTCACCCCGGGAATGCTGGATTGTTCTTCTTCTGTAGTTTGCATATCTCTTTGATGGATTATAGAGGATGCTGATTATGGGAGTGATGACAGCTGCGTAGAAGACCGCTGTGATGGTGAGGATGGAGTAGAGTCCTTCATCTAACAACTGCAATGTTAAAAGATCAGAAATCTAAATTACCAATTAGAATTTTGATTTTTGTTCTTCTGATACTGATATATTCTATACAAGTTAGAATGAAAATTATGTGTATTAACTGGTTGTCGATATGTATCCGTACATAGTGCATTTACAACCAATGTGACCGGTTTGCTGTCAGTACTTTCTGTTCGGCTATTATGTAGCCCTTTTTTTTTTTATAATGATTTTAAAAAAGAGGATGATATTTATACCAAAAAAAAAAATCATAAAAATAATGTGACAATGATGTTTTTGAAAATATAAGCCACTTTGATAAGTCAAAATCAAAACTTCTTATATCATTCTATAGATTTTATGTACAACTTTTATATTGTTACGTCAATAGTACTTATTTAAAAAATTCACCACTGTCATATCCAATTTTTTATATATATCAGTTGATATCTCTAATATAATTAGATCATAATCAATATCGATATGTATTGTGATACTGTTATTTAAAATCATGGTTCAAAATGCATTATTAAGTGATAAAGGTGACAGTAAATTTTTAAAATCATACTTTTACATTTTTATATAGTTATAATTATTCAATCAATCTAAATTTTTTATGAATAATATGTATATGAAACAGGAGTATTAATAGCTCTAAAGTGGTGCGTGAAAGATATGAATTGTTTGGATCACATTTGCTGGCTTGGTTGTGGGCCTAGAAAGCTAGACTTGACTGATCCAGTCAAAAGCCCAACTGGACCTGCGTTTTTACTTTTTCAATTCTTCTATGGACAAAGTAGACGTACATGAACATCGAAATTTTTTCCCACTGAAAATTACTCTATATGAAAGAAAATGATGCGAAAATTCTCTCATATTAGCAATTTCAGTTAATAAAAATTTCAATGAGCGTAACAGTGTAGTAACATTAATGGTAACAAGAAGAAAGTGAAAAATTAGATTACCGAAAACCTCAATGCTCTTTTAAAAAGCATAATATCAAAGAACCCCTGCGAGGTCAGTATAAACCCTAACGAGAAAGCATCCGCAAAAGGCATCCCAAAATGTCGTGCCGGTACAACGGCAGCAATGAATTTCCCCATGTATCCGAGGTGGACCACCAACTCCACCGGACCATAGTTCATTTTATGGACAAGCATCACATTCACATGCCTACCTGTATCAATAATATATGCCGGTAACATTAATGCGAACATAATAAGATTCAACTTTTTCGCCAAACCCGACCCCAGGGGCGGCCCTGATGGGACCGCAAACCCTAGAACCATTCCTCCGAAGTAGGCTTGCAACCCTAGGGTTTCGGAAGTGAGCATGGTCCCAAAAAGCATTATAGTGATAACGGCCAGGTGTGATTCTTTTATGGTAGAACCTTCTGGGATTTTTTTCATCATGTAAAACATGACGGGACGAAGAATAAATATGATGATCAATATAACAAGAAACCTGCATCGAGAGCTTAATTAAGATTTTGATTTGAGGGAGCAAATTAACAGAGAATAATTTTCATCAAACTAGATAATTTTATAAATTTTCTAATATTGTTGTAATTTTTTATTTATTTATTTTCAAATAAAAAATAACTAGATATAATATTAAAATAATTATCTGCATAATATAAGTTTAGCAATATGATGATCATAAGATTTTCACAAATTTGTTATGAAACTCAATTTTATGATTTAATAGGCTTTTATATATATATATATATATATATGTCTATTTGTTTTGGTAAAGTGATTAGGCAGTTGTATTTTTTTATTTTATTTTTAAAGTCAAGTAGTGTAATTGATTTTGAACTGTCTTTTTAAACCAATGTCTTCAGATCTTTAATAAAGTAAAAGACTAAAAGGAGCTCTATTTAAGTAATGTTTGATTCATCACTAAAATGAAAGTTAAATGAAATGAATGGATCATTTCTCAGTTTTCCTATAATTCGACTTTTCACTTGTGATAGTAAATGATAATTCTATTTTCAATTTAAATTTTTATAATTTTTTTAATGAACCAAATCTGAAAATAATTTTTTTAAATAGAACCAGCATTCAATTTCACTTTTATTCTAATGAATCAAATAATAAAGAATCTCTTCTTTTTTTTCTTCTTTTTTTTCTTTTTTTCTTTTTTTTTTTTTTTTTCTTTTTTTTCTTTTTTTTCTTTTTTTGATAAATTTTAAGTGTATATAAATAGAACACAAAAAATATGTATTGAGTGGGCCACCCTTACAATAATATATATATATATATATATTCTTTTAGGGAGACTTATTTATAAGTCCTTTTTCAGACACTTTTACTAAGATAAGTCCTGTGTAACTTTTTATAGAGTCTCAAGTCCTATTTAGATAGGAATGTATTCCACAGGATCCCACATAAACGTAACGTGAAGTGACACTTACATAAACGTAACGTAACATGACACCTATATAAACCTAACGTAACGTGACACCTATATAAACGTAACGTAACACTTACATAAACGTAACGTAACGTGTCACATTACATTTCACAAACTTTATGATTTTTTATTTTTTTAAAATTGAATGTGAAAATATTAGTTTATATTAGCGTCACGTTACGTTTCATATAAATATGATTTATGGTAACATTCAATTTTTTATATAAGAAATTGAATATTGTCATAGATCATAGGTGTTACGTTATGTTTATGGATCATTTCTCAATTTTCCTATAATTCGACTATTCACTTGTGATAGTAAATGATAATTCTATTTTCAATTTAAATTTTTATAATTTTTTTAATGAACCAAATCTGAAAATAATTTTTTTAAATAGAACCAGCATTCAATTTCACTTTTATTCTAGTGAATTAAATAATAAAGAATCTCTTCTTTTTTTTCTTTTTTTTCTTTTTTTGATAAATTTTAAGTGTATATAAATAGAACACAAAAAATATGTATTGAGTGGGCCACCCTTACAATAATATATATATATATATATATTTATTTTTTTATTTATTTATTTTATGTTTTATTTATGTGTACGTATCTACCTGCCAATCTCGACTTGGAAAAGAGATAGAGCTCCGGTGTGCATGAACTGAGCTTGGCTTGCCAAGGAGCTTAGGGATTTGATGAGCATACCACAAAGGTTGCTGATGAGAGAGCAAGAGAGAGCGAGGCGGCCGATTTCAGAATTGAGGAGGTGGAGATCCTCGAGGAGGATGGAGGTGACATGGAAGGAGGTGGTGCCCCCGAGGACGGAGATAGTGTTGAGGCTGGGGCCGATGGAGGGGTAGGATTTGGAGAGGCCGTGGGCGGTGGGGACAGCGAGGGCGACGGGGAGGATGGAGGTGGCAATGCCGACGATCCAACTGAGTTTTCCGGTGGAGGTGATGAGGGAGATGTCGGTACGGACCCCGATTAGGAATCCGAAGTAGGAGAAGCTAACAAGCTCGAGGACGTCGGCGATTATGGATTGTTTTCCGTTGAACAGCTTGGAGTAGAAAATTCCATTGTTCAAGTATTGGAAGATTGAAGGTCCTAAGATAATTCCAGCCTAGTGGACATGGAAGTTACAAACACAACATTTAGTTAGCAACATGGACAATGAATTAGTCAAAAAAACAAAAAAAAATCAAAATTTGAATTATGTTAATCAGATTTTTTTTAAAAAAAATTTTAATGTGCGCATACAATGTAAAATTTAAATATACAATGAACATTTTTATATGGATAAAAATTCTAGACGCATAGTATTTCTAATTAATTAATTAACTCTAGAACTTGTTAAACATTTCATTTTGTTAGTTGATTGAGAAACGGGGCTATTGTGTATTACCTGATGTATTACTTGACGAATTTGATTGGCTTGTTTTATTTCATATCTGGATTAACACAATAAACAACACATGTATAGATAGGATTTATCATATTCATAATAATGAATTGAATTATTTCCTAGTTATAGTAAATCTTATATTTGTGTATTTTTTTTTTTTTTTTTTTTTTTTTTTTTTTTGCTTTCTATATTTGTGTATGTTGTTTGTTAAGTTTATTCACGTAAACGATAAAAAGTGCCGATAAATATGTTGCACCACTCGTGCCACCTCTATCACCTTTTGCAGCTATTACGCATAGGTTGCGATGATATTTCTAACAGACTCATAAAACGGTGCTATACACCTCTATTGTAGAGACACCCTTTGGGTTGGAGCCCAAAGGACAAGCTCGTGAGGCTAACTGCAAAGTTAGGCCACAAAAGACATCCTTTCAGTAGAGATTAGGCTGCACATCTCACATGGTATCATAGCCAGAGCCTCACCTACACCGAGGTGCTAGGGGGAATGTTGGTATCATCAAGTTTATAGAAAAAAAAAATTTACATAAAACTTTCAATTAAAATGACGAGGCAATTTTTTTAAAATTTTAAATCACTTCGATGAATTTTTTGTGCTTAAAGTAATCAAATCATGACTTGCTTGTCACATGATTTTGTATTCATTTGTATACTATAATTTTCTATTTTTACAACATTACTCCTTCCAAAAACAAGAAAATGCAAAATTGATATTGAAGAGCTTACCAACATGTGTGAGACAAATCTAGGTTGTTTGAAAGGCTTCAACAGGATTTGAAAGATTGATGAGGTTATAATAACAGCACCAAGTTGTAGCGTAAGAATTGGAAGAGGATGCAACAATGGATCATCTCTTCTAAACAAACCCTTGGAGCTCACTGATGAACCAAAATATTCACATGTATATAGTGAATTGAAGTTGGAGAAATTAAAAGGCACAATGACCTCGCCTTTGCTATTCGCCATCGTTTGTTTTGCCCTAGAGATATCTACCTCCAACCTCAAATCCCAGAATAGCAAGAGTATCGTGCACTGAGATTGTTTTTAAATTATTAAAGAACAAGGAGGGAAGAAGGGTATGTAGGAAGAAACAAGTCACAAAAATATGTTTAGTTTTGGAGATATCTATTTTTTTTTTTTTCTTTTGATTGGTAAAAAAAGAACCTTATTGATGGAATAAACAAGTACCAAGTACAGAGCGAATTACATCAATAAAGAAAAAAAGAGGTGCAAAAGTATCACAATGAGCTAAATCATCTCAACGAGGTTGTGGAGATATCTATCTGCAACCCTATATTCTTTAATGGCAGAAATCTCGTGCATTGGGAATGCTCTTTTTTTATATCTGCCTATAATGAGAGAACAATAAGGACAGATGGGTCGCGAGGAAGGAGAGAAGTTATGCCTAGAGATATTTGTTTACAATCCTAGATGTTGCAATGGCAAGAGCTTCATGCGCTGATTTGCCTTTTTTATATCAACCTGCAATGCAACCGAAAATAAGAAGGAAAGAATGGTCAGGAAGAAGGAAAGAAGGGTCACAAATACGTAGTCAGCGTAATTATTTTTCAAACAAAAGGTGGAGAGGAAAATATTGTGGAGGCCAACCTTCAACCCCAGACCAGCCCCCCAATGATTAAAGTTCCGCGCACTGAAACTATCTTTTTTGTATATCTATCGGAGAACAAGAAAGAAAGAAATGTCTAGAGGAAGGAAATTAGGAAAGAAATCAAAAATACATAAGTCACTATAATGGTTTTTTAAACAAAGGGAGGTGAGAAAAATAGTGTGGAGGTCAATCTTCAACATGTATCTTTAAGCTGGCAATCTTCTTTATCTCAATGTATACACAAATTTGGAGAAAATAAAATTTTATTTTGCTGATAGAATTTTTGTCCAAAACACAAGTTTAAACTCTCTAAACAGGGTAATACTACCACAACACCACAAAAATAGTTAGGTACAGCTGTATATATAGATACATTTCAAAATACAACTATATATGAAAATTCTTTCCCATATAATTTATTTAAAATTTTCCAGCAGAAAAGCTAATTAATGTCGGTTTGACAGCTACAATTAGAAATTTTAATTAATACTATATTTTCTAAAATTTTATCCAAAAATATCAATTTGTGAATTCATTCAAACTCATTCTGATATAGACCCACAATAGAGCAATTAAATTTTAACCATACTTCTTTATTTTATTTTATTTTTTGAACTAAGAAAAGCCGGAAAGGCTTACAGAGGAGAAACAAAAACTAAAAGGGCCAAAAACTCCGACGGAGGATTCCTCACCCAATCAAGGGGAAGCTTACCCTTCAAATTACAAGAAGCTAGCCAATGAGCAATATGATTAGCATTTCTAGGAATCCAACTAAGCTCAATCCTGCTCCTGGATCTATGGCAGCGGATGTCATGGAGAATTGCAAGACTATCCCAAGGAGGAACACCTTCTGAAACACTCAGTTCTTATCACTTTCCATCTAGAAATTCGAAATGCCCAAGGAGGAAGCAAACAAACAAGCTAACCGAATTGCTCTAGCTCCTCCTTGAGGGACTAAAGACGATGGAATTGTATTTTTCGGAAACTTTAATTTGAGATTAAAGTGAGACTTAGCCCAAGTTTGGCATACACAAAATAATTCATCTTTTTATCTTTTTATTTTTTTTCTATCACATCATCTCTCTATTTTTTTGCATATCTTTTCGTAAAAAGACAAAAAATGCACTTATTTAAGTCATCTCAAACAACCCCTTAATGGCTAGTTGAGGTGAGTCTTAATAGATTTGTTGGTTGGAAGATTTAGAGAAGGATTTGGAAAGGAAAAAGGAAAAAGTGTGTAAAATTAAATGAAATGTAGATATATTTTATTTACATTTCAAATATTTTTTCATTTCTCTTTTTAAATCTTTTTTCAAATCTCCTAACCAAACACAGCATTAAGTGAGAAGATTACAATACGGAAATAATGAGCCGAAACTATTAGATTATGAATGAGAATTGTTTCATAAAGTAGACATCCAAAAAGTTGGACTTAGATTTAAACTTATTTTTAGTTTGGATTGGGCCTAAGCTTATGCTTGTTCTTGTGTATGTGTTGAGTTTTGTCTTGGATTTGGACTTGGACATAGTTTTAAGCTTGGGCAGAGTTGTGCTTTATTGAGATTAACTTGTACATGTGTTTAAGATTGGTCTTGGATCGGATTATAACCCAACATCCGTATCCATTTTGCGACCCATCTGTTTGAATTATTCAAATATCATTATATATATTAAGCACATAAGAGGTTTAGACTATTGTAACTTTTATCTTTTGATAATGGAGTTAATGACTATATTAGTGGCTTTGAGTTTTTAACTTTTGTAACTGTAACTCTTATGGTTAGAGTTGATGGTCTTAGTTAATGGCATTTGATGGCCTTCATGATCTTCTTTAGTTCTTGTTAATGAGAGAGTGCTGCCATTGTCAAGTTCACCGAAGTTATTCAAAAGGTACTTCTGCAGTAGTTGGTTTCAACCGTCATATCTTGGGAAACAAAAGTCAACATTCCACCAGTACCTATTGGTGAGACGGCGAATCCATTTTAAGAAAACTATATATACCACAGGTTTCGATTTGCATTCCTTATCTTTTGTTATTTAAACTTTTAGATTTAATTTATTTCTTTTATATTATTTTTGTATGTCTATGTGAATCCATCTTGTAGTACATTCTAATATTATAATCTATTTTCCAATCTTGTGTTTTCTTTAAGAATTAAAAAAGATCATTTTATCTTTATTGGTATTTTTCCATAATAATATAAGAAATATATATATAATAAAATAAATAGAAATGACAAAATAATTTTTTATTTATTTATTAAAGAATAAAATACAAAAATAAACTACAGAACTAAAAATACATAAATAAACTAGATTACATCATGGAATATATTGCAAGATAGATTCCCATGAATATATAAAATAATATGCAAGAAATAGTTCAAATCTAAAAGTTTAAAGAACAAAAGATAAGAGATATAAACCGAAATCTGTGTGATACCGCAGTTTCTTTAAAACATATTCACCACCTTCCAATAGATGCTAGAGGTACACCGGCGTCTGTCTCCCAAGATATGACGGTCGAAACCAACTAATGCAGAAGCATCTTCTGAATAGTTTCAGCGAACTTGACAATAGCAGCACTCTCTCTAATAAGAACCAAAAAATGGGGCTAGCAGAAAGAAGATAGAAAAAAAAAATTAATATAAAAATCTTATTCAACTTTATTTAAAGAAAATTACAAATTTTTCATCTCAAAAATATTTCTATCTCATTCATTTAAGTTGGAAGGGAAAGACCATTTTTATACTTGTAGGAAAAGAGTCTTAACTATGAAGGCTACCATAAAACCTAGCATCAACAGCCATCAACTCTAGCCATTAGGATTAAAGTTACAAACATGCAAAACTCCCATGTGTATAATATGATCATCAACTCCACTATCAAAATATGAGAATTACAAAAGTTGAAAACCTCCCTTGCATTATATATATATATATATATATATACATATAACGCTATTTAAATAATCTAACAAGATAGGTCGCAAAATAGATACAGGTGTTAGGTCACAACCTGATCCAAACCCAATCTAAAATATATACACAAGACAAGTCCAGTCTAGCATAGCACAATCTGGCCATGCCCAAGACTAAGTCCAACACATGCACATACACAAGCCTACGCCAGCCCAAACCAAGACTAAGACTAAGTCCAAGTCTAAGCCCAAGTCCAAGCTTAGGTTCAAACCCAACTTCTATGGATGCCCACTTTATGAGATAATTCTCATTTATAATTTAATGGTTTCAGTTCATTATTTCTGTGTTGTAACATTCTCACTTAAGAGAATACAAAACCACTCAAACCTACTTCAACCAGCGATTGAGTCCCACTTTAATTCTAAATTAAAATTGTCAAAAAATTATTATTTTCTAACAATCTTTACTATTTTATTTTATATAATTTAATTTTCTACTATCGAGAAAAATACCAACAACAATACCATCAACATCTCTCCCCTTCAAGTCACGAACAACTGCAAGAGAAGTTTTTGAACTAGTCTTAGAAAAACCATCATCACAATTTGCTTTCAGCTTTCCTTGGGGCGGGGGAGTCCAAATAGAAAGATCCACCGTACTTGTTTATTCATAATAATTTTCTTGACAAATTTTCATGATAAGTAGAGTTTTCTTTTAATTAATGCATTTTACTAACTCAGGCTGTACGTGTAATGTTGGTCCATGCAAGATCTCGTAATTACGCGTACAAAATAATCAGACAGTAATAAAGAGGAGAATGATAAACAGCAAATTTGGGCATATTTCAATTAAAAATTAAATCTCCCTTGAATATAAATAAAAACATGCAAAACATTAATTGATATTTACCCCACCAGGAAAAGAACATTAAACTAGATATATCTTGAAGAGATTACGAATATAAAATAACAAAATTAAGTAAAATAAAATTCCTAAAATCTCATCTACATCACCAACACAGGAGATTCTATGTTGCAATTCCACACATGGGTTATTCTAAGTTTACTATGCAAAGTTGATTCCAATTTCTAAATGCAAAACCCATAGAATCATATATTTTTGGCAAAATAAAGACCATTACCTGGAAATGTCAATAACCAAAGAAAAGAAAAGACTCCAAAACTGAGCAACACACGTAACAGACGACCATCAAAAGACAATAAAGAAGACTCTTCCCACTACAGGAAAGTGGAGTTTTAGCAGCGTTTTTAAAACGTCTCTAAAAGCTTGAAAAATGCCATAAAAAGTCACAGCGACGTTTAATATTTTCGTCGCTGATACAGCCACCGCAATAACTTTGCAACGTTTGAAAAACGTCGCTAAAAGTATTAGACAACGTTTTTTAAAACGCCGCAAAATCTTTGACATCTGTTCAACTTCCGTCACAAACTAACGGATGACGTCATAATGACCCCATTAGTTGCGTTTTTTAAAAAACGTCACTTTTTCTTTTCCTTTCTTTTCTTTTCTTTTTTTTTTCAAAACCAGAATACCATACATAAATGAAGAGCAGTTTGGCCTCCTAAAGAATTTCTGTAATTTGAATGTCATCTTCCAATCAAAGAACATAAAACTAAAGGCTACATTCCTGTTCTCAAAATTTCATCATGCAGAAAAATAAAATATGTCAGGTCACATGTAAGAGTAGTGTGCATCAAATACACACATATAAGAAGCACCTTTTCCAATAGTCATGTGCTTGGCGAGGCTCCCTCTTAGGGGTTGTTTGGGATAACCTAAATAAGTGTACTTTTTGTCTTTTTATGAAAAAATGTGCAGAAAAGTAGAGAGGTGATGTGATGGAAAAAAATAAAAAGATAAAAATATAGATTATTTGAGGTATGCCAAACTTGGCCTTATTAGCCATCAATAGAGATGCAACTACATCAACCTGTCACTAATATGGGACCCAAACATAAGTTTTCCATCCCATCCCCTCCCCCAGCTTTCAATCTTTTCCCAAAACAACTCAAAAACTCCTAAGACAATGCTTTAATTGTTGCTCCAAAAGAGAATTTCTCCAGTGGCCTTTTTTCATTGAGTTTGTCATATCTACTTCTTTTTCTTTCCTTTCTTTGATATGTGAACCTGCATTTGACAAGAACAAATAACATGAATAAGCCCAAATAATCATATAGCAGGTTCACTCATTAAGCCCAAATAATCACCCGCCTCCAAACCCTCACATCTGAGATTCGAGAGAGAGAGAGGGACAGAGAGAAAGAGAGGTACAAAAATTCTTAATAACTTCAATTATACCAAAATCTAATAAAATTCATACACCAACACTATGTATATATAAGGCTAACGAATAAAAATAAATAGATATACTCAAAATAACTCATGAACAGATTTAAACTCTTAAATAACTCAAACTCCCAATTATTGCTGCCTTATCGATCTTCATCAATTCTCCCCACTAAGAAGAACTCCCATCTGGAGATTAAAGAGAAAGATAACACTCAAATTATTCAGAATTAAAGTATCAAAGTTTGTCCTTAAAAATTGGAGTGGCATCAGTAATGAACCCAAAGCATATTATTCTTATATTTCAAATCAATAATGAACGCAACACCATTCCAATTAGAAAAACTTCAATCACTTCCAATTCCTTTGAAACCAAAAATAAATAAATAAACTAAAATAAAATAAACTTGAATTTTAAATTTTTCTTCTCAAAAAAAAAAAACCCCACTCAAAACGCCCTAAACTCCTTGACATAAACTTAAACCAAATTGAATTTTACTCAAATATTTACAAAATCAAGAAATTCTCAAATCTATATTCAAACTTAAATTCTAAACTACGGTCTCAAATTTTCCACTCTGCCATTAGTTAATTTTTTACAATACAGATTCAAGTAGCTCCCTTCTTTTTATGATTGAAAATAAAGAGCAAATCCCAAGTAATATTGCAATTCTAACAGCATATATATATAACAGTACAAACAAAAAACAGAGAGAGAGAGAGATTTAGCAACCACAGCTAAAATATATCTAATGTGTAGTAAAAATTCAGCAACCACTTTAAATTTGTGTCTATGAGCATCATTACTCAAAATAAACCAGAGGTCTTTTGCCAAAACACATCAGGAAGTGGAACCAAAACCATAAGGACCATAATATGACCAATGTCAGTCAGGCTAAATCTAGTGTTCTAGAGTAAAGATTGAATTCATTAATAGTGCAATTTTTATCACTGTTATATGTACTTCAAATTAGACGAGTCGCACTAATGGACAATAAACACATAAGCTTTACAAGGAAGTGTAAATCATGATATATGATTCCGTCTAGGCACGATAAGTATTTATACTGTCTTTAGATCATTGATTCCTTTCTTGTTCAACCTTAGTCAAGAATTGAATTATGTCTTATCTTAAAAATTTCACGTGGATGTAAACAAGCCATAAAACACAGATTGCAGAACAGAAATGATATAGCAATATACATGTACCAGTTTCTGCAATTAGAACAAGTGCCTCTTCTGTAGGAAACCCACAAACTGCTGGAGTTGGATGAAGGGAAGACAATACCTCAAACTGGTAACAAAGCAAACTCGTGCAAGAGAAACTAAGCAACTAGACATTCATTATCAACATATGAGTCAAATAATTATATATATACACACCTACATATAAAACAACATGAATGTTTACAATATATTGGTTCAGGAAGACAATTTTAGGTGGTTACGTAACAAGTTTCCAATACAGAAGAATGTACAGATAGAATTCTGAACTGGAAATCTTATTTATTAAAATAAAAGCTAAACTTAGTTACTTGACAGGTTGAACTTTACCAAGATCATAAACAGTAAATTTTCACATTATTGCTACAACTTTTGAGCTTCACTAAATTCTCTTGGAGAATTGCAGTGTTTCCCAAAACATACACAAGAGATTCAGAAAAATCTAAATAAATGTTTTCATTGAGTTAGGTAATCCCCATAAGCAAACAAAATCAGAATTTGAATAGTAATTACCTTCTCAATATAGGACCGGACCATATTCTCAATGTCTTGCACAATGCTTTCAGATTGGCCATCTACAATGATCAAAACAATCAGAATAATAACAAGAAAAGATGTGCAAACATTGAGATTTGCTATCTCACCAATAGCTACTTTTGTAAGCCCAGGAAGATCAATCAGTGTCAGGTTCACAACTGCAAAGCCACACAAACATAATAATGAAATGAAGAAATTACAGATACCACATTTTGCAACTAAAAGAAAATCCAAGGTAAATGCCACATTCTGTGCAAGAGAATAAGGGAAAGAAGAGCAAAGCAAAAGGGAGGTTTTGATGCGCACACTGCACAGTCATTTGATAACTATGAAAGGAGAGATAATAGCTTAGAAGTGCATAACAATTTGTTAAAGCCCTAACTTCAATATCAAACAAATTTAGTAAGTGGAGCACAACTTTTAATAACCAACTATTTATTTAGTCCAAATTGTGAATCAGAAAACAGGGTTGACAAAAGCTTAATACCAAAATCAAGCTAAGTCTTGTGTGCCAGTCAGGTGTGATTGACCAACATGTAAACAAACTTCATTTTAATAAATCAAGGGGAAAAAGTCAAGTGCAGAAAGAGTAAGATAGTGTGGCAAGCAATGCTCTTTCTCACCATTGGGGGAATATAAACTAAGATAAATTGGAACAGTTGAAATTTGTTTTGAACGGCTAGTCGCTTGATCAGTCTCATCAGCAATCTCCTTCCTCACAGCAGCAGCACAAGATACAACCAAGGATTTAGCATCTGAGATCTAAAAGATAGAAAATCAATGGTACATATACAAGATCAAAACTACCAGATAAATGCATATCAATCATTAGGACTAAATCTAGACAAAGATGATATACTGACTGGCATTAGCTTGAAATCCCTCTTGCTAAAATCAAGGTAAACACTAAATACAAGGCTATGTAACAAGAGAAAAAGAATAGTCATGACTGGGTAGCAACAACACAAGTCATTTTCCAAAAAAATATCACTTCTGCGACAAGAAATATACCAAAATCAGTAAACTTCTTTTTTGCAAGGTGAATGAATTCTGCATATTCTCTTCCTTCATCAATCCTATGAAGTTGTAGGACAAGAGGACGTCTGGTAACAATTCCTACATATAATAGTTTCAAATTATTTCTAGAGTTCAAAGGATTTTATAAGTTAATGAAAATCTTAAATTATATATACTACAACCATGTTATAACATTAGAAAAAATGTGGAAGCATTATTACCAGATCCACGAGGCAAAAAGTCCTTTCCAACAACACTCTCCAACACTGAAGATTTCCCAGAGCTCTACAAATCATTAAAGAGATGGGATGATAAATGTACAACATATGAAAGACAAGATGAAATAATAATTAATGTGCAAGAACCCTCTATTGGCATCTTGAGGCCATTTGTCAAAGAAAAATGCTAGGGACCCCAAATATTTTATTAAATGTTCTACCAAGGCAAATCTCAAACTTTTCAGATCCAAGGCCACAAGCACTGCAACCAAAACATTCACTAAAAGCAGCAACAAAACCCTAACATCTTCTCACCAATAAGTCCATATCAATGAAGAACATCAAACGAATCACTCATACATGACAAGAGAAGAGTTAGAACATAGCAGATCTGATAAAACAGAGCAAAGAAGAAGAAGCGCAAAAAAAAAAGCTTAATCTTGCCATGCAGAGAGAATGAAAACAGAGGCAAAAAAGACTCTCTCAAGGATCTTGGTCCTTCTTCCCTCCTCGGTCTCGTAACCCCGTCGATTTGTGCAACTCAACTGAACAATCTTCCTCTGCAAAATCATCAAAATCAGAATCAAGAAAAACAAAAAACCGTCAAGAAATTTCAACCAAATCGATGCAAGAATCGATGGATTTAGAGTTAGATCTGAACAAGTAGTCGGAATCAACCCAGGTGAATCTCTCAAGGAGCATGAGGAGATAGAGAAAACCCTAGATCCAAGAAGGAGAGAGAAAACGATAGACGGAAAGAGAAATTGAGGATAACGCTGTGGAACACATGCATAAGAGGATAACGCGTGTCTTTTAATCTTACTTTACCTCTTCCACAGCGTTTTTCAGAAAAACGTTGTCTAAAAAACGTGGTTATAGCCAGTTTTTGTTGTAGTGTCCAGAGTGGTCATTAGAAATTAGTCAATGCTCAAGTACATGAAAATAACTGATCACACAAAAAAAAATGCAGTTAGTTACCTACTAAGTGAAAAGAGCACACCAATGTGGTGGTCAAGAATGGAAAGGCTGTATCTTACAGCACAGGAGGGCGCAAAGTTAAATTATTGTACTAGCCCAAAGAAGCACAATGTTTTTCAGTGCCAGAGTACCTCAACGAACAACTATTGCCCATGAAAAGCAAAACCATCAAAATGTCAAGCTTCTTTTCAACACAACTCCCAAACAAAATTCAGAGGTGGCAGCAACAACATTAAGATCTATTTGACCTTACAAATGTGTCAAAGAGATGCTTCAAGATTGAATGTGATCCACAAATTTGAAGAAAAGCAGCAAAACTGAAGGGTCATCAGCATCTCTATGGTCAATGGGTATTCTAATCAGATGAGAGCTGGATGAGGATTCTACCCTGTTCATTCTCCATCAAGTTTCAGTGCCCATTCACTAGCAGACTCAGAGAGAGAACGCCCAATTATCATCAGTTACACAAAGGTGACATGGAAAAGCTAGACATAAACAAGATTTTCATTATAAACCAAACCAAACCAAATCAAGCCTTAAGATTTTCATGTGTCACATAAAACCTCAACAAATGATGTGTGGTGCACATTAAATTTGGATTAAACAGAATTATAGAAACAAAAGGAATGTCAAAAAAACAAAATAATAACAGATTAATTAACTTTCACAGTTTAGGAATGCAACAGCAACTATTAGTCTTTGATATACTTACAATATGCTGCAAACAATCAAATAAGAAAGAAATACATGATTCCACACAATGGCCTCAACAGACGCCGGCATAGATCAAGTATAATGAACATTTTCTCACATCACCGGGACAATATCTTAAAACACCATAAAAAATAAACAAATCACAATCATTCTACCTCATCCTAATGATTACAATCACTTCAACTAACCATTAAGGAACCAAAATAATGCCAGTAAAATTCAATAACAAACTTTCCAGTAAAGTTCAATAACACATGTAATGAACTAGTGATAGATATGCGATCAATGCTAACCATTCATTGTAATTAACTTTGAGCTAAATATGGGGTCAATGCTTACTTCCAATTTCAACCATTCATTCAGGTTTCTATGTCCTTTCTTCGAAATATCTTTTAACCCTTCCCTTTTTCTTTTTCTTTATTTTTTTTTTTGCTTTATTTTGCAAAAAGAAACAAAATATGCAACTAAAAATGCATTCAAATGCAAAAGTTGCACATTAACACAATGTCCAAAACAGGTACAATAAACCCAGCAGGAAAGATTTAATTATCATGCCATGTGGTTTCCTGGGCCAATTTCCTCATATCTGCTACATATGCAAGGGGTAATTTGGGATGTACAATACGAAAAATATCAATCCATATGGTCTTCCGATAGCAAGAAATGAAGGTAACAACAAAATCAAAATTATACTGCTAGAAACTAAACATAAATGGGGAATAGAGATGCAACTGAATTTTACTTAGAACATTAAAGTCTTAAAAATATTCTTTCGAGTCTCTTAGGACCACAATGAATAATATAACATGACTCGATGAGTATCTTATATGGTACAGGAGCTTCTTTAGTACCTTTTTCCCTCAATCTTCCAGGAAAAAAAAAAAATTTGATGCCTTCATGCAGTGAACTGTTTAAAAACTATTTGTCAAGTTCAACCGAAGTTCCCAAGAATCAAGGTCATCAGCTCCATGAAAGCCAATTCTGATTCAGGACAGGGATATCTTCATGATACATTTACAAGCTTTGCACGTCGAGTTTTCTCATCCACCTCTACTCTGAGACCAAGTCCAGAAATTTCAGGAACATCAACAGACCCCTGATGCTGCAATTCAGCAACCAACTGTTGGTTTTCTTCATTCCCTTCCAATAAATTTCTCACTGACCAAATGCCCCACTCTCTCAAGAATGGGTTATCTTCATCAGTAACGCACTGTTGCAATAGCAAAAGCACAGCATTTCTCTGTCTAATTTCATCTTGAACATGCCTTCTCTGATATGCACAGTTACCGATGATTCCAACAATATCACACCGAAATCCTTTGTAAGGACAGGGCTTTGATGAATTTGAAGTTGTTCCTTCTTGGCCCTCGCTTTGTTTCATTGCTTTTTTAATTATTGTTGGAGGCTCAAGATCACGAAGCAAACATAAAAGCAATTCCAAAAGTCCCGACGACAATAATGAATTAACAACATCCACAGACCCATCCTCCTTAGAGCCTCCTCCTACACCATCATGGGCACATATATCTCTCAAAATGGTGAGTGAATATCCAATAACATCAACAACAACAGATCCTGTTGGTAGACCAGACTTCCCTCTAGACACACGATCAACAGCCCCAACAACTCGTTTCAATATTCCAAGAACAGACAAAGCAAAATCATTGGAAATGGATATTTCGCCAAGTCGCTCATTCAAGATTTTTGATACGATATTCAACAGAAACGCTTGTTCCGACACAACAGCATCATCCCTAAAGTTGACATCTTGAATGTTTTCAAAAGCGCCAACTGGGGATAATCTACGGAACAATGGGGGAAATTGATTTTCTTCTAAGCAGATTCTTGACAAAAGCAATTTAATCCAATCTTCTCCAAAGCCAACTAGCAAGAACAAAAACAGAAAATTAAAATGGACTACAGTTAGTAAGGCCCCCAAACTAGAAACATGAAAATCAAATTTGGGGTCTGAATAAAGACTATGCAAAAGTATAAACAAATTCAAAATTTACCTATTGAAGCAGTCCGTACAATTTCCACCATGATAGGCAAACCTTGATCTCCACAAACCTCATCAATCAGTCCATTACTTCCATCACAACATGTATAAATAACCATACACAAAGGATCACAAGTCTCCCTTCTCCGCATACTAGCAATCTCAACAAACTTAAGTGGAAAGAGCTTATACCAAATAGCACACTGATGTTTTTCTCCGGCCAATGAAACATTTGCTAGAACTTGCAACCCCATACGAATCAACCCATAATCTAAATCCAATTCTCTAACTGAATCCAATACAGTCAATACAATTCCTACTCCATTATGTTCAACAAACGAGTTCTGGTTGGTTAATTCACCCGCACATAGGTTTCTTAATAGCTTCAGACACAACAAGAGAATGCGACTAGAAGAAGGGTAAGACAGAATTTGACAGAGCTGTAGGACCATAGGGAGGATGTTTTTTGAAGCAAGGTCCAAGCGACCATCTGGGTTTCTAGAAGCTTCTATTAAAATTTCTAAAGCTTTCTCTGGGGTTGATGAGTTTGAAGCAATCAACAATGGCTGAAAAATATTTTCCGGTACGAAGTGTACTGATGATGAATTACCATCCATTAATAAAGCAGGAAAAATGAAGACCAACCTAACAAACAGAAAACAGAAAAGAAATGCAGCAACAGTTAGTTCAATTCAAAACCAGTTTTGGCATTGAAAATTTTCCAGAGCAAGGATAGTTCTGACAATCAAGTTCCAAAATTTAAGCAGCCATAACATAAGAAATCATAAAACAATTAAAAGAAAAGAAATGGCAATCATTCAAATTCAGATTAACACAAGATTCATGTACATTCATAATTATACTATCTTATCATGAAATATGATCTGAAAATGTACCCCCATGCTTTTCATTTTTTGCTGGCTAAAGTACAAAAATAGTACACTCTTTATTTTATCTAATTGTTTTAGCTATTGTATTCTCCAACCACACTCTTTATTTCCGCTAATTATTCAAACTAACTTAACCAATTTTTAAAACAAAAAATACTGATTGCTGATATTTTACTAATATAAATTTGCAATAAAATTTCTTTAACATGTTTTAAAGTATACATGTTTAAGAAATAATATTTTTTTTTTTTTTTTTTTTTTTTTTTTTTTTTTTTTTTT